ATTAAAGATGTGTGCCACCACCGCCCGGCACCAGCATGATTTTTAAACTGAATATATGTTTAAAGAGGGTAATGATAAATAATAATGCAAGTTCCAATGATATTCAAGACAGAGTAACATCTAACAGATGTGCACAATTAAGAAAAATTCCTAAATGTCTTTAAAATGAAACTAAAACCCAAATATGTATGATAGTAAACAAATGATTACATCAGAGAACAGAACTATCCTTATATGTCTAGAACCTCAGTCAATGTGGAAATATAGCATTGATAAAATACCCTCAAATAATCCCTGTTTCTAGAATGTCAGTCAATGTGGACATATAGCATTGATAAAATAACAACTTCAAATAATCCATGAATGTTGACTAAGGCATATTTATGCTTCCTTGAAGAGCTATCTTCTCATATTTATTTAAGGATTAGAGTCAGAGGTTAGTGTACAAAGCTTGTGTGTTGGTGTCTAAAAGGTAACTAAACTGAAAACAACTGTAGTCGTGTTCACCAGCATGCTGATATGTGAGGGTTTAGTTCTCCTACATCTGCTATGAGAAATATTTGGGGAATCTTGGATTTTCAAATTTCACTGAAGATATCACTATGAGGAATTTTTTTAAATATTTGTAATCAGACTAGATATTTACTTAAATACATCTACTCTCTGTAGATATGTTTAATCTACACCCAACTAATGACACCCAACTCAGAAGAGACACTGACACATGGTTCTGCATTGAATTTTGTGCAGAGAATTACAAAAATTCTCTCCAATGCAGTTTGGTAAAACATACTAATACGTAAAATAATGTTTTGGATGCTTTCATAATACAGCAGAACATCACACAGCTAGAGTTAAAAGAGAGACAGAGAATTTAGCTGCCATGGGGAGAAATTCCTTCCCTATATCTGGGAAGCTGAATCTGTACTTGATGGAGAGTCATCTCATGGAGACTGTGAGCCACAAAATGCACATACTGCATGACAGTGTGAAACTCTAATGGAATGAACATACGTGAGCCAATAAGGATGTACAGGAGCATGTCATTGTGACTTCAAGACCCAGACTTTCTATGTCAAAAAAGCATGTGATAAAGTAACTATTAAACCCTTTGGAGAATTGGGGTCACTATAAATTATAATCACATTTGATAGTAATGCTTGCAACAGTAGGTGAATTTTCAAGATAGTGTTTACAGAGAAAAGCAGGGTGACTGTAGTCATATTTGCAAGAGCCATACACACTTTTTTCCTGTCCATCTCTCTCCTCTCAATTTGGATAGAATCTGAAATGACCTCTTTGGTCAAGTGTGAAGACCGTCATCACCATGAGGAGCAAATAGATGTAAGCATCAAAGAGACAATATCCAATGACAGATGCACCCATGGGGACTGTCTGACAGAAATGACATAACTGGACATGGTCATTCAGGATAGTTCAAATGACCCAAATATAAGCTGAAAGAAAAATTAATTGGAAATATGATGAATAACATTGGCATCAGAACAATCTTATTCCTGCATCAAAAGTTGGGAAATACTATGGTCAATAACTGCTTATCTTCTTGGTTTAAAGTCCTCTCTCACTTCTAAATAGTATTACAATGAATTCCTGATGAAACTCGGAGTTTCAAAAATACCTGTGTTAACTCCAGGCTCTTTCTCTTCTCTGTCCCAAGTAGAGTACATAAGGTTACATGAGGGCATGCCTGACTACTTCCCTTTGAAAGAAGAATGACTCAACCTCTCTCCCTTTCATATGTAGAAAATGGAAGTATCACCAGAGGAAATCTGGTTTCCTATTCCCTCACAACCTCCTCCTTCACCAATAGGAATATGTTGAGATTCAGCAGTCTCCCAATATATACATATGTTGCTTCCTGAAAAACATTCCTTTGGCTGATTTTGACATAGTAGAAATAAAATCCAAAGGATGTGTTGATTAAAATATTAGGATTCTAATTATATCCTTAGTGGATAATATGAAAGACAAAGAAAACTGGTAGTTTCTTGTCCTCGACCACCAGAGAGGAATTGTAATTATTGATGAAGAGGACTCATGTGCAACATTTCTATGAATTTAATGCACTGGATTTTCTACCTTGAATATCCTGTTTCTATGAGATTTTATATAAATATAATATATATATATATTATATATTTATATATATATAATCCCAGGTCTCACCAAAACTAAAATCATCATGATATGTAATCCAGATTAAGTAAAATCTTGAAGGTAGACCATGCATTCATAATAGTCCCAAGAGAGCTAATTTTAGTTGTCTAGGCCTTTGTAACTATACTCACATGGACAGGCTGCAGGTTAAAATGATGGCAGAATAAGACAATATTTTAAAACGTTCTGTCAACTAGGAAGCCAAACAAGATGTAAACACAAACAGGTCAAAGTAATGTGCACCAAGGTTACAGGGTGTTTGTAACATGATACTGCTGTACTGTCTCTAATTTAGTCTTCTGTAATACCCAGATTTTAGTGGTATGAAATTCCCACTTCTCTTATGATGACTTTCTCATAACTGAGTTGCTTTAAGAAGTTCCAACTTCTTCAATAATCACTGCAGAGACAGATCTGTTTAGGAAATTAATGGGAAAATTACCTTTCTCCAATTGTGTATCAACGGATGTAAAAAAAAAAAACACACACATGGCAAGCCCCATGCTGAAGAACAGATGTTTACACAAAATTATGTAAAAGGTGGTTTACCTTTATTTTCTGGTCCTTTGTTTGTCTGTCCTATTCTGGATTGTTTTTTATTTATTTATTTGTTTGTTTGTTTGTTTGTTTGTTAATCATTTATTTATTTTATATGGCTGTTTTCCAATGAGAGGGGGTGCAGATTAAGGTGAGAGGGAGATGGGGAGGAGCAGGAAGGAGCTGAGGGTGGGAAAACCATGATCAGAAAGTACAGGATAAAAGCAAATCTATTTTCAATAAAAAATGACGTTAAAATCAGTAATATCTTAAAATATTGTTGTCTCATAATTCTGTTTCTGCATTATTTGCCAAGCTGACCTTACTGATTTTCAATTATGTGTTTTTATGACATTTTTAAAAATCTTTTTTTTCTTTTGTTGAAAATAATTTTTTTTCTTATAGTGTATATCATGATTTTGGTTTTCCATCCCTCTTCACCTCCCAGCTCCACCCATCTCCCCTCTGTTCTGAAGCAACCCCATTTCTTTCTATCATTAGAAAACCAACAAGCATCTAAAGGATAGTAATAAAATATAATATAGTATAATTTATATAACATAATAATATAGTCAATATAAAACAAAAATTAACACATCAGAATGGAAAAAATTAACAAACAGAAGGAAATTTGCCCAAGAAAAAGCACAAGAAACACAAACACAAGAACCCATTTGTTCACATGCTCTAGAATCTCATAAAACACTTAACTGGGAGCCATAATATGTACACAAAGGGTAAATAGTTAATATATAACTGTATGGTAAAAAGGGAGTTAAAATATATATATGCAATATAAAATAAAATATAAGATAGAACGTAAAAAGGGAAAAAGGGAAAGTCATGAAAGTATACTATGATACAAGGAACATTTAAACATTCTATTGAGTTTGTTTTCTGTTGCCCATCTAATGCTGGAATCACATCTTACTCTAAAAAGCTGTTTATTTGCCTTGTGAGACTCCCTAGGAGAAACTCAGATTTTCCTTTGCAAAGAGATAGCTACTGTGTAAGGGGATGTGGCCACATGTGTGTACGTCTCCTTTCAATTCTAAAACGCCATGTGCTGCAATCTATACTTCTATACTGTGTAGGCCCTAGGCACGCTGTCTCAGTCTCTGTGACTTCATATCTACATCTATACTGTTGATTTAGAGGGTCTTGTTTTCATGGTGTCCTCTATCCCTTATGTCTATGACACTGTTTCTACCTCATCTGCCACAGGGTTCTCTTAGGCCTAAGGGGAAGGAATTGATGGAGACATAACTTTTGAGCTGAGTTTTCCATATTCTCTCATTCTCTGTATAACGTCTGCCTGTGGGTGTCATCTGTATTTATTTCCATCACCTGCAGGAGGAAACTTCTCGGATGATGACTGAGCAAGACATTGACATATGCCAGAACATCATTAGTAATCATTTTATTGATATAGTCCTTTATTAGAACTGTAGTCATTTGTTTTACAATAGGTACTTGACTTATTTGGTCCAAGGTGCTTGTTCGCCAAAGCAGTGTTGGGTATGTTTTCTACCTCTTGCTAGGGGCCTAAAGTCAAATCAAGGGTGGTGACTACTCCCCCAAGCTTTGTGCCCACATTGCACTAGCATATCTTGCAAACACACACCTGTGTCTGCTTGTGTGTGTGCGGTATGTCTGCTTTTGTATGTGATTTTTCATGCATTATCTTGATTAGTTTTGTTTTCCATCGGCTTGTTTGTTTTATTTCTCTGCTTGTTCTCTAAAAAATACAGAGAAAGAAGTCAGGGAACTGGCTGGGTGGACAACTAGGAAGGATCATGGAGTAAATGAGGGAGGAAAAACCATGATCACAATATGTTTTATGAAATAAATGTATTTCAAAATGGAATAATGTAAAGTCCTTGAACACTCTGTGCAGCTTGGTCTTTGTGTAGGGTTGCTAACAGTGGGAGCAGGGGCTGTTTCTGACTCTTTTGTCTGCTTTTGGGACCCTGTTCCTCCCACTTGATTGCCTTATCCAGCCTTAATATGATAGGAGTAGTCTAGTCTTATTGCAACTTGATACGCCATGTTTGGTTGATATCCTGCTCTTTTCTGAAGATAAATTGAGGGAGAATGGATCTGGTGGAGAGGTGAGGTTAGGGGGAGGCAACTGGGAAGAGGAAAATGAGGGGAAACTATCTTTGGAATGTAAAATATTAGAGAAGTATAGATAGCCAATAGGTAGGTAGGTAGATAGATAGATAGATAGATAGATAGATAGATAGATAGATAGATAGAGTCATACAAATGAACCAATTCTCAAAGACAGATTCGAGCTTGTTTTTACTTTAACTGTACAGCTTCAAATAATTTATCCCCTACTTTATTCTTGCAAGTTTATACCTTGAGTACTACTAATGAAGGTTAAAGATGAAAATATACAAGGCAGACAACACAGAAAGACTTACATATTTATGCAAATTATAGTACACTAGAAAAGAAAAGATCAAAAAGTGTTCTCAGAGAGAGAATTGGAGAGCTTTTATGAAATGTTGATGAATTCCTGAGAAAAAGATATTCATAAATGTTCAGGATTCACACAATATACATTTTTCAATTGAAATAATATACAAAATTTTATCTAAATTGGAGAATTGTGAACAGGGCAGTACAAAAACTACTATTTGGATATCAATGGTCAGGGAGAGATCTGAGTACATGTTCCGATGATCTGGACACAGATGGGCAATTGATATTCTTCACAGATTTAAAAGAAGCTTCCTGTAATTATCTGTTGTCTGGAGAATTCAGTTTTCTGATATCTGACTTTTGATTATAATATAAAGATTTACATTCTGCTGTAGCATGTGGGTCATTCTACTGTAGCATGTGGGTCATTAAGCAATCAGTTGGCAAAATATTTCACTCATGTCAAAACTGAGCTTTTCTTGAAAGAAAACATTCGTTACTTTACAGGCAGAGTTATGAAATGTTAAAGAGATAAAGAATAATATACAACTCACTTCTTTTCTCTTTAGCACTAATAGACAAGTAAAATGAACATTATAAAAATCAAATTTCTAATGTAGAGAAATATATATATCATATTTGAAGAAGAGAGCTTAAATCTTGATTTCATCAATACATGAAACCAATAAACAAAAAATAGGAAACAGAAACATTCACTACACCTGACTGTTGGAATGATGCTAAACTTTCTTAAAGACTTACATGTAATTAAAAAAAAACATGCGGATTAAGCTATAGGTTGGAAATTTCTCTTAGAATGTGCCTTGTTCTTGATGCAATGCAGTGAGTTCCTATCTGGTCTTAACAAAATAATGTAGCACTTGGGGGCAAAGATGCAGACCAGAAGGCCTGCACTGGAAGCCAAGATAGAGAACATTTCCATGGCCACCATGACCTTCCCCTTGGTACTATGATAGACAGGGAGGAATGTGACCCATACACTAAAGAACACCAGCATGCTAAATGTCAAGAACTTGGCTTCATTGAATGTGTCAGGTAGGTTCATGGAGAGGTAGGCCATAGTGTAGCTCCCAAGTGCCAAGAGGCAGAGGTATCCCAGGACACAGTGGAAGGTTACAATTGAGCCCTTGTTGCAAACAATGATGATGTACCCATGTTCAGAGTGAGCATCTGAGTCAACAAATGGAGGAGAGGTGCTCAGCCAAACTCCACAGAGTACAAGCTGGAGGAGGGTGCAGATAGGAATGATGAAGTTAGGGGCCCTTGATATCATCAGCCACCTCACCATTCTCCCTGGAATGGTGACCTTGAAAGCCAGAACCACAGTAAGAGTTTTGGCCAAGACAGTGGAGAGAGCCACTGTGAACAGAACTGCAAATGTGCTCTGTTGCAGGATACAGGTTGCTGTGTTGGGATGGCCAATGAAGAGCAATGGACAGAGGAAGCAGAAGATCAGAGTGATGAGCAGGATGTAAGTGAGAGCCTGATTGTTGGCCTTGACAATGGGAGTGTTGTGGTGCTTCACAAAGAGAGCAAAAACACCAGCTGTGAGTAGAGAGCAGCCCAGGGCCATGCAGGTGAGTACCATTCCGAAGGGGTCTTCATAGGACAGAAATGTCACAGCTTTCTGGAGGCAGTGGTTCTGTTGTGTGTTTGAATGATGACTCTCAGGACACTTCACACAATGATCCAAATCTAGTCAGGAATAAATGTTATCTCGAGTTTGTGCTCTGGCTTCCCTTTTATCCCAAGCCCCTTTCCAGCACCAGCTGTCTGGCATGTTACCTGCATCTCTTCCCTTCATTGTTTCAGATTCAATAAATTAGTCTTCCATAGTCAAAATTCCTAAATTGTCTGAAATCAATAATTCCAAACTGATCCTGCCTATTGTCTTTATTGGGACTTGATATGAACAATTCTATTCTCTTCACCTTCGTATATGTCTATATTTAAGTGGCAATCTTCTCCTATTTATATTGTCATAAATTATTAACCTAAATTGCATAGACCTAACTCATTCATTAGACTCCACCCTTGTGAAACACGTCAAGTGTGAATTTATCTGAGTTCAGTACAGGAAAATGTACTTTCAAATTTTTTTCTGGTAATGTCGTCTTCAGTCATTGGCCCAAAATTTATCTATTTTTATGGAGTTAATTGGATTCTCCAGTTTCTTAATTTGCTGAAGGTTGATGCAGAAATGAGAATCATTAGATTCCTCATAGCCTGAAAACTTCCCTCTGTGAAACTGTTTAGTGTTTAGTCGTTTGCATGGAGAAAAGGTTTATTTAACACTTAGGTATAAAAGGTTTTTTGTTTTGTTTTGTTTTTTTTTTTAGTTTTTTTACACAGGGATCTCATGTAGCACTAATGTTCTGGAACTCACTCTGTAGAATAGGCTGGCCTCAAACTCATTCATACATATGTCTGCCTCTGCCTCTAGAATGCTTAGATTAAGGCATTGGCCCCCATTGCCTTGTAATATAAGACATTTGTACTAGTCTTCGTTTGTGATGGTGTGATTTTTTTTAATATTTCCCAATGAGAACTTGTGAGTTATAGCTAAAATAAACAATATATAAATATCAATGTACTTATTCCATATTTTCATTTGGTTAATATATTCAATATTCTGCAAACTGACTTTTTCAAATTGGTATTTGTTGAACTCTTACCAACAATTTATTGAATTCATGATTTTGCTAGTGCCAAGATTATCTTTTTTATGTCAAGAATTTATTACAGGCACCAAAAGCTGATTACACACACATATTCATATGCATGATCTTCCAAAATAAGAACAAGGCACTTCTTGCTTAGTGACTTCATACTCTCATAGAGTAGATTTGTTAATAATTTTGTAGGAAGTAAGAAATAAAGAGAGACAGATTGCAATGGTTAATCTTGATGGAATTCAGAATCTCAGAGGAGACAAATGTCTGGGTGAGTCTGTGAGAGCACTTCAGTTGGGGTTTCACTCTGGCGGAAGGTGCTAAACCTACTAGGAGTATGGGCACCCTTCCACTGCCTAGAGTCCCAGACTAAATAAAAAGAAACAAAGCTAATGGAGCACAAGTTATCCATCTCTCTTCCAGCTTCCTGACTACAGTACCAACATGGCCAGCAGATCCTGCTTCTGCTGCCATGAGATCTGTACTCTTAAACTAAGAGCCAGTTTGTCAAGTATTTAGTCAGAGCATCAAGAAAAGTAACTAAACCGATGAACAAATATGCATATATATTATTCTTCCACAAATCAGAGGAGTCGTGTACATTTTACATAGCACACATGCAGCTGTTGTTGAAATAGACATATTAGGGCTATTTCAATGTAAACATGAACGAATGCTTTTTGAATTAGACATAACTGTATATAAAGATATCATAGGTGAATATTATATATTTAGTTACCACTTTCTGTAAAAGTGATACCCCTATATAAACAGAATGTGCAGTTATTGAGAAAATATTGCCATACTTATGCATCCAAATCTTCATAAGCTACCAGAACACAGAGCACTAAGCTAAAACAATACTTTTATATCCTAAAACGATTAAGTCATATGCTACATAATATTTGACCATTTTCAAATTGATTTCTTAAAAAGGTGAAAACATTAAGATATTGGTATTGAAATAGTTTTATATTTATTACTTTTATATCCTCTAATGATAGTGCTGGACTTCACTGTATTGTTAGTAAAGTTAGCACTCTTGGACTTCACTGATAGGTCTGATTGCACATTCACTAACAGGTAAATATCTCAAGATATCATCCACACATGCTTGGGGTGCTGTGTCTTCTTGTGACTACTCACAGCATCTGAGTTCTCTAGCAAGTTCCTTGCAAGGATGGTTTGAGGGTGGTCTTTCTATGACCCCACTGAAGACCAGGCTCGATTCATGTGATCTGGCTGGCCGACAGGTGTCCCCTTCCTCCCTCACCACTCCCTGTGCATCCTTCCTAAAGGTGCACACTTGTTCAAAGAGGAGGGCCTTCCCTACATAGAGGATGACCAGTCTTGAGTCACAGGTATACAGGTAGCTGCACTGCCCTGCTAGAACCTCCACACAAGCTCTCAAGGGTATCTTGCATTGTGTGACTTCACACAATCCTCTCTCTCAAGGCACTCCTCTTCGGTTTCCCATGGATTTACTGGCTATTGGTTTCTAACAGAGCATAAGTTCATCACAGCCATAACCCCATGTCTTATTTAGTAAAGAGCACAGGGCATATAAAACATGCTAAATATTTCATTCAGATTTAAATATGTAATTTTCAAAGGTAAATACAACTTACTCTACGTGATTTGAAGAATAAGATTCTCTGTTTTGAGCCGTTTAACAGCTTTGTTTTAGTTTCTTCTTTCTCAAACTATTTTGAATTGTCTTCTTGAACTGCAACCTTTTACAGTTTGAGGGCAAGGTGTTAGGTTTCCTCCAATGTATAAATGTAACATGTTCATGAACTTATCATGCCACCAGTGTACACAAAGCATCTATCTGCACAATTAGTCTTTGACGGTCTGTATAGCCATTCTTAATATACATGTTTTTAATGAGGCACCTTAAAAGACACCCCATTTGCTCAGCCTTGATGTAGGGAGGAGGGGACTGGACCTGCCTCAACTGAATCTACCAGGCTGAGCTGAATCCCCAGGGGAGACCTTGCCTTGGATGAGGTGGGAATAGGGGTTGGGTTGGGGGAGAAGGCTGGGGAGTGGGAGGAGGGAGGACAGGGGAATCTGTGGCTGACATGTAAAGTTAAATTAATTATAAAATAAAATAATAATTTTAAAAAACACCCTAAAATTAGAAAATTTGTATTTTCATGAAGAAATCTTTAAATCTCTACATGTATGGGGAAAGGAATATTGATTCAAAATATTCAAATTAATAAACAAAGACTCTCATTAGACAGAAATAATAATGATAGGATGTGGTAGTATTTTCTGTATGCTCTAACAAATAAGCTTTCCTGATTTCAGATGGCAAAGCCAGCCAATGGTTAGCCAGAGCTGCTGGTCAGTGGTGGCACACACCTTTAATCCCAGCACTTGGAATCGCATGCCCTTGCTCCCAGTAATTGGGAGGCATATGCCTTTAATCACATCACCACAGATATTGAGACAGGAAGTGATATTGCTGGGCAGAGAAAGGAATATAAGGCAAGAGGAGATAGGAGCTCAGTTCCTTTCAAGCTCAGGAGTTAGCAAGGTAAGAGCTGGAGGCTGTGGCTTGCTGTTTTGTCTCTGATCTTTCAGCATTTACCCTGATATCTGGCTCCAGTTTTTATTAAGATCAGTTAGGTTTTGTGCAACATAGGAAATCCTTTCTGCTTTTCTAGCCATGTTCACGATTTTGTCTATGTGTGATCTTCAAATTCACTGTTTCAATTACCGCATGCCTATTTCCTGTACCTTTGATGTATTCCCACACAAGATTCCTCTATTGTGACCAGATCTGCCATGAAAAACAGAATCTTTCACTTCAGTTTTGAGTTGCTGTAGGAACAGAAGTGTGCATCTCTACATGGGTTAATCTCAACACTAACACTAATGGAAGTGATGATGCCATTTCAACTAGTTGTCACAAGACAGTATTTTATAATTTACCTTCTATGTAAAATAATGCTTCCATTAACACATTATACAAAATAGAGTCATTTGTATAAGTTACTAAATGAGCACTTTAATTGATTTAGGTTTAGGTTAATCAAACAAAAGAAGTGATACAAATCTAGATTCGATTCCATAATACAAAGACAACCATTGGTTTAAAAAATTGTGCTCAATGGAAGATTCTCATGGTAGGTTTGTAACATTCTACACTTACATATATGTTGTGGTCAACAACTATTTTAGGAATTTAATACCTATGCTGTAGACTTCTCTCACCACCCTTAGATGTTATGTAGCATTATGCTTCCTGTACACATATGGAGATGGAGGTAAACAAGGAAGGAAAGACATTCATTAAGGGAATGTTGAAAGTTATTTATGCAAGATATCAAAAGGATGGAATATGGATAAAAGATTGTTTGGTACAAGGCACCTGTTGCTCTTAAGAAGGGCCCATATTCTGTCACTAGCACATACATGGTGGTTCAGTGCCATCTCTGATTTCATATACAGGTGATATGATGCCCTCTTCTATCTTCCATGTGTCCCAAGCAATCATATGGTTCACATACATACATGCATGCATGCAAAGCATTCAGAGACAAAACAACATGAACAATCCTTATTTAAAACATTTATAAATATAACCAGGTGTAAACCAAATAAATTCTGAACATCTTTGATGAATCCAGAGCCATGACTGGAATAATGAAAGTAAGGATGATAAAGACACAACCTTTAAAAGTGTGCACACTATGAACTAAATATGCTTTCAAAAACATGGAAAGTTGATAATTAATACCGGAGTAAAATGAAGCCAACAGAGTAGGACAGACAAAGTGGTTTTGTACAAAGACCAATGCCTAGAGAGAACAAACAACATTGATCAGTTATGAATTTCAATGGCCCAGATTGCAATTTAAAATGATACAATAAACTGAAACATTTTTTCTTTTAAAGGACACAATAGAGATTATCAGTGCTGATCTTTCATGAACTTTTCCATCTCCTTAGACATTGCCAAACACTGTGGCGATGTAGAAATGCCCGTTACACTGACCCTTACCTGTCTCATTGGAAATCTCATTGTCTGGACAAGGAATACAGTCATGGCAACAGATCGCCTTGCCCTCCTGGGGGGATTTTCTGAATCCAGGAACACAGCTCTCACTGCACACAGAGCGAGGAAGCTGAGAATGAAACACACGAGAGAAAATACTCAGGAGAAGAAAGGTTGAAGATAATAAATAGATTATTTTTCAATATTGAACAATGAGATGGCAAGTTTTTATATTTATAATGGTAGATTGTTCTGTTGATGCTTCTAGTTTAATATGGTATGTCTTACAAAGTTTAATATATTAAAACAATGATCCAATGATAAATCTTTGAAGATTTGTTGGAGTGTAAGAGGTAAGGCAAAAAAAAAATAGACTTGAAGTTACATCACTGAATATATGTCTGGAAGGACAACTAGAATGCCAGAAAGTGTCCCTGCTGTGTGCTTTCTAATGGCTGGAGGGAGCAAAATTTTTATAATAGTGATATTTAATAGCTCTTTTGTTTCAAACTTGAAAGGATTTCAAATTACAGTGAAAACAAGTTTTGGGGACATGGTGTGAGAGATCTATATTGGGGTATTTGAAAAAGGAAGATATTCTCTAAAAGTAGGTATCACCATATCATTGACTATTTTTCTAGCCAGAAAAAAAAGAAGGAATGTGAAGAGCAGTTTTCACCTTTATCTACTTCCTGACTGAAGAAGCAATGTGAATAACTTTCTCAGGTTCCTGCAGCCAAGGCTGTCTAAATGTTGATGGACTGTACCTGCCACATGAAACCCTGTTATGTCTATGATCTTAAGTTGCTTCTGTTTGATATATGATTTTGATTGTTTGATCAAATGTTTCCTTTAGCAGGAGCAAGACATTTAATTAACCTACAGCTTTGTGCCCTCCATGCTCCAATGCTTTTTCCATGGCTTGGAACCAAAAGGGCAAGTGACTATCCACTGATATTTCCAATTCTTAGAGTCAAATTAATCCTCTTTTCACTATAGATTTAGCACAAGGATGAAACTTAATAAATAGACAATTGTTGCTCAAATTTCTAAAGGACATATAATTTAAAAAAACAGAGCCAGAAATACTGAAAAATCATAGAGACAAAGGAACAAGCCACCTCCACGTCTTACCTCACCAACTCTATGAATCCTCTGACTATTTGCCTCTGCCTCCTCAGCTGAAAGAGTCTAAGCCAAAAGGCTTCCTCAGTGAAAGACAGCCTGACTGTTGGTTTCTGCATCCCCAGCTGAAAGACTCTCATAGAAAGCTTTATTTTCTGTCTCCTCACACCTTATGTACCTTCTTCACCCAGCCATGTTAGTACCTGGATTAAAGGCATGTGCTTCCAATGTACTGGGGTTAAAGGTGTGTACCACCACTGCCTGCCTGTTTCACTCCTAGACTGAATCAATCTCATATAGTACACAGTGACTTTGAATTCACAGAGATCCATGGAACTCTGCCTCCCATGTACTAAGATTAAAGATATGTGCCAACACTGTGGCCTCTATGTTTGATATAGTGGCTGACTTTGTCCTCTAATCCTCAGGCAAGCTTTATTTGATGTACAATATATCACTACGGACAATCAATTTATCACTTGAAATATTAACCATGGGAGAAATGTATGGAAAAATAAACATATTGCCCATGATAAGTCAACAAAAAATTCATCATATCGACAATTGTTTTGTGTATATTGAATAGTATCTCATAAAGAATCAGAAAACATTACATTAGGAAACAAATGTTTATTTACAAGTAATGCAAGGCAATGATATAAGATTCAACACACCTCACTAAATCCTACAGCCCACTGTATCATATGATCAGACAAAAACATTTGTTGACCTGGTGGAGCTTTTGGAGAAAATGTTCCAACTTTCATCATTTCTCTGAGACCATTTGGAAAATTCCAGTAGTTGAGAATGTCATACTCTGCATCTAAATTTCGTTGTGAATCCAAAACCACATTGTGTCCGGCACCATTTTTGAAATGGATTTTATTGAGAAAAGGGAGAAGCTAAAAGAGATGTAGAATCTTATGATGAATTTAGTCCCATAAATACTCAACAGAACCCAAAGAACCAAAGTCTCACATTGACTTTAATCTCTTATCTGAATGCAAGTTACAAGCTATTAATGACTTTAATGATGAAAGTCCCCAAAATGACACACTCATAATGTTTCTACACCTTGAGTGAGTGTCAAAAGAAAGCACAACACAAACAAACACACACACATAGAAAATCAAGGATATCACAAGAATGCTCATTGAGGCAAATATTCAAAATTTGCAATTGGTAGCTATAGACAATTATTTAAGGAAAATGATCAATTTTCAGTTTTTAAATTTTTATGTTGATTTCCAAAGTGTAATAAAATGGTCAGTTAGCTAACATAGTCATTGCTTCAACATTTAAACTTTACAGCTTTAATAGCAAATGACAGCTTAGGATCTACTTCACCTATTTCGGTACTGAAATGTATTAAGCAGAATTGGGTATCAAATTGAGCCTATTATCATGAGATTCTGAGAACATTTGTAATACAAAGTGGATACTGACATACATATATTTCATCCTTTTTATTACCAATGACACAATTTATCTGCAATGTAATGATTTTTAGACAAGTAATTGCAAACAGCTTGGCATGTGATCTTTGGTAAAATCTGCTATGAAGTACAATAGTATATTGCGTATTTTTGTAAATACACAGTATGTCACATCGCTATTGGTAAAATACACAGGAAGAGACATTACCTCCCAGGGGCGGGCCTTATCCTCCCCATTTACATGAGGTTGAATTTGCACTTGTTTGACACTCATTTCATGAAGACTGTGAGCCACAGCATATACAGAATTATAGATATTGTAACCTTCTTCAGTCATGTCCATGTTCCACAGATTTGAAGGAAATAATTCCAATGAAGCATTGGATAGACAGTTACCTGATATTTCACAACCAGGTACAGACAAAGAACAATTGAAGAACGTATTCCAAATAAGAGCAAGATAATGGTCTTCTGGGTAATTAGAAGGGGTATATTTGTGCATAAACTTTCTAAAATCAGAAATCTCATCATGGTGGTTTGCAAAAAGGAGAGTCCCATGAAATGAATCAAAAGGAAAAGGTTCTTTAACAGTACCGACATCCAATTGTGAATTCATGACCCATACTTTCCATGTTATTAACAAATTCATTGCATTTATGATCATGAAAAGTAAGGATTCATTGTCATAATAAATGATAATCACGTTTGCAGATGATATCATGAGCAGCTCAAGAGTTCCTTTGTATGCATAGTTAAAGAAACTCAAGTTTTCAGATATCGTTTTCATGAAAGCTATACACACTCTGTTTCTGTGCATCTCTCCTCTCAAGTCTGATAGAATCTGAATTCCTTTATGGTTATCTATGAGGACCAACCCCACCCAGGTCCAGCTGAAATGAATCATCAAAGAGACAATGCCAAGTGACAGAGATGAGTCATTTGGAGCTGTCTGGTAGAGAGAAGAAAACTGGCCTCTGTCACTCAGGATGGTGTCAAACGGCCCAAAACTAAGCTGAAGGGAATTTAAAATCAGAAACAAGAATGAAAACATTGATATAGAACACAATCTTAGACCTGAGGTAGCACTTGGGATTGGTAGTGTCTAACTGCTCTTCATAGTGTTTTTAAATCATATCTTACTTCTGAAGACTTTTATTGAAAATTCCTGACAAGACATAGAGTTTCTAAATACCCACTGTAGATTCCAACCTCCTTCTATCTCAAGCAAAACATATGAGGCTACATAAACAAATGCCTGACTTTCTTTTGATAGACAAATGATGGACCTCTCTCCTTTACATGAGAAAACACTTGAAATGTCAGCATTTTAATACAGTTTACCTGCTCCCTCACACCCACATCCCTCACCTGTGGATATTTGTAGAGATTCAGCAGTCTTCCAATATGTGCAGATATTGACCCTGATGTTCCTGTAAGTAGAGCAGCAGCTTCCTTCTCCTGTCTACATGTGTAATTGGGAGTGTTGATCCCCGTTCCTGTGAGCCAAAGAAAAGCTTCCCTATGCAAATCCCTTCCATCATTTTGGATATTATGGAGATCAAATCCTAGAGATGTGTTGGGTAAAAGATGAGGGTTCCTGTTGATCTCCTCAATGGCAAATATGAAGGCCAAAGAACACTTGTAGTTCTTCCACTTGAACCTGCAGAAAAGTTCTGTCAATATTGTTGAACAAGACTCATACCATACTGCCTACCAGTTTGATGCAATGGCTTTTGTAATTTTTATGTCATATTTCTACCAACAAATAATTTTATATCATTTCAGGAATGGTTATAATTTAAATGTCCAGCATATATAGTAAGTGATAGTTTCATCACCTAAAAGTCTTGGGTGGATCTACAAGTCCTTAGGGAAAAAGCTGAGTTGAACTGATAGCATATTATATCTTTTAATAAGGAGATCCACATAGCAGACCCACCAGTATTTTGACATTGTAGAGAAATAATCAGCCAATGGAATCTTCTATTTGTAGAACCAATTCTGGTTCTCCATCATGTTCCCTACTCCTACAGTTAAAAATTACCTTTAAGTGATTATTACTCCTAGACCAAGAGATGTTTATCATATATTTCTCATATTATATATTGCCCTTTTTGACTCTAGCATTTTATTGGAGCAGATACTGACCCCACAGTAAAAAATTAGACAACCTTAGGGAACCCAGCAGAAGAGGAGAAGGAAAGATTGTAGGCCTTCCATGTACATGCTGTGGTTGTTACCTTGTGTTTTTGTTGGACTCCTAACAGCTAGAATGTGAAGTTTGGGCCACTTTTGCCAGCTCCTGAGATATTATTTCTCCTTCTGGGCTGCCTCACCCACTCTTCATATGAGGCTTAAAGTCAAAACTTATTGCATCTTGTTATGCCATGTTATCAACTGAGAGGCCTGCTCTTTTCTGAAGGGAAACAGAGGATCAGGAGATCTGGAGAAGAAGTGAGGTGGGGGTGACTGGGAAGAGGGGAGCTAGGGGAAGCTGTGGTTGTAATGTATTGGATGGCAGAAGAATAAAATTACTTTTTAAGAATAAGATTAATTTATATCTGTGATTTTAAATCTGATACATATATATAGGAATGCATATATAGATATAAATTGTATTAATAATTTTAAGGATATTTCTAACCACCAGAGACTCATTAAAAACAAAAAATGAACAAATGGGTTTGAAAGATCCAACACAGGGATCTCTCCAATCTTTTAAGTTAAACAACAGCAATCTTCATACCTTTGAATGAGGTGGATTAAGAAACTAGGTAAGCCAGGCGGTGGTGGCACACGCCTTTAATCCCAGCACTCAGGAGGCAGAGCCAGGAGGATCTCTATGAGTTCGAGGCCAGCCTGGACTACCAAGTGAGTTCCAGGAAAGGCGCAAAGCTACACAGAGAAACCCTGTCTCGAAAAATCCAAAAAAAAAAAAAAAAAAAAGAAACTAGGTAAAAGTAAATACTCTTTCATAAGAAAGGAGTTGACAAACAAGTGTTTTTAAAAGGTTGGAAGGAATATTGATGTGATGCAAAATTTTCTTTGTACACACTAAGTAAAGAATTTTCAATATGACTGATTCTGTGTTACCAACATTCTCATCAGAAACATGTTAACAATTTTCTGTAAGTAAGTCAATTAATTTCTCTGCATCTCTTGGCTGTACAGGTATGAATTTGAAACATGGTATCATTGAGAAATTAAAAATAGGAGACATTCCTGAAAAAATATTCTCACAATACTTTGTAAATTTATGTGTTAAGTTCATTATGTCTTATGGTATTAACCAAATAAAATGTTAGAATGATGTGAAGATTGAAATTGTTTTTTAAAGGAAGTATTTATATACCAAGATTATGATATATGGAGTTTTCCAAAGGAGGGGGGAAACAACAAAGCATTTTCAAGTTATGAACTTACAAGTGGGCTAATGTACATAGAGATCGAGATTTAAAGGTAATACATATGGTATTAAAGTCTTTGTGGAATAAGTTAAACAATTATAAAGAACTGTTTGTCATTTAGATTGACTTCTTCCCTGTGTCCATTCTACAATGAGACTCAGGACAGTGATATAATTCGCTCAGTGCTTCCAAGGGAAGTCACAGTCAGGCCAAGGGAGGCTGTCAACTTATGTTCACTAAGAAAGACAATAGCACAAGAATGGATTGAACAATCAGAGATTCTTCAGAAGCCCAAGAGAACACTTAGGCCTGAATTCTCAATAGACCTCTACAGAACAAAAACAGAACTTAATTTTTACTAAAATGCAGTCTTAAGTGTGCACCAGTAAAGTATGATCCCCATTAAAATGCTCAATGTGTCTCTTTAGCAATTTAAGGGCCGGCAGTCCTCAAAAATTATGCTTAATTACATGAAATGTTTTTAGACAACAATTTCTCACTTCTTATTGTTCTTAAGATAAATGCAGAGTTCAATTTACCCATAGAAGATTTTAGCTTACGTCAGCACCACAGTGACTATCAACAGCTCATGAAAACCATGTAATCTTCTTAAATCTCATGTCAAATCTAAAAGCTGTTTTTACCAACTATGGAACATCATCTCTTTCACAATGTGTACTTCTCACAGGTAGAATGTGTCCTTCAGTACACTAACCATTCGTGCTCTCTGATTTAAAGGGGTGGTATGGCATTCTGTCTCAAAATTCACCAATTTAGAGATTATTCTGGAATCCCACATAGGGTCCTTGGACTTCAACTGGCTTTTCTTACCATGTAGCTGTTCTTTATGCAGAAGTCTGATGTAGCAAACAGTTGATTAAACTTACCTTCTTTATGAAGGCTCTACAACATGGCCCAGACCAGAAAAGATTCACATTTTACCTTACTAAACAAAACTCATACTAATAATGATGCTAAAAGTATGTGCTCAAACTTTACCTCTTATTGTTTCCCAAAACTTTGTAATAGAGGAGAGAAAGCAGCTTATCCTGAACTTCCACTGTTAGGCTCAAAGTGTCTCAAATGTTTCCACCAAACTATTATCCTTACAACAGTGACAAAAAGCACATCTTCTAACAGCCATGACAAACCCTGCTGTTAGTATTTAGATTGCTTCTTGCCTATTTTCTTCCTACTCTGAGGGAAAACTATGCCAAATATGATCTTAACTGCATTCTCAATAGGAATTATAATGTCCTGACAGTTTGAGTTTGTGTGTTGCTGATGTGATTCCACTCACATAACACATTCCTAATATGAATGCTGCTGTCAGTGCCTGTATTATGATCAGAATATTTTTATTTCTCATTTTATTTTAAACCCTTAGAAGGACTCTTCTCTGAGGCAGCCTAGCTGATTCCTTTTCTTGTAACTGAAGTTTTCCTGTATCCCACCTGGTCCGCAGCCACTCAGATGCAAGTAAACACACAGAGGCTTATATTAATTAAAACTGCTTGGCCATTAATTCAGGCCTACAACTGATTAGCTCTTACATTTAAACTCAGTCCATTTCTGTTAATCTATATGTTGCCACATGTTCCGTGGCTTTACCTGTGTGCCATTACATGCTGCTCCCTGGACGGTGGGCTGGCATCTCTTGACTCAACCTTCTTCTTCCCATAATTTCCTTGTCTGCTTATTCCACCTATACTTCCTGCCTGGCTACTGGCCAATCAATGTTTTATATATCAACCAATCAGAGCAACACATTCACAGCATACAAAACATCCCACAGCACCTCTCCTTTTCTGTCTAATCAAAAAGGAAGGGTTTAACTTTAACATAGTAAAATTACATATAACAAACAGTTATCAAGCAAGAATTGCAGTTACAATATCTAGTCTATTTGTATTTTGTAAAATTAAAGAAAATATTCTATCTATCCTATATTTGTGAGTCTAAAGTTTCATATCTTAGTTATCTTTTATCATAACTAAGCAAAATTATAACTATCTAGTCTTCAACTACATCAAAGACCTCAGAAGGCTATAATATTATCTAAGTAAACAGGAAGAGCATTGTAAGCAACTTCCAAAATTCTAGAATGACAGAAACAGTGCCTGCCTGGACAGTCATGCAAAGTTCTTCTGTAACGTTGGGGCATCCATCCATCTTCAGCCCATAGGCCTAGTCTCTCAGTCACATTTCTCTGTGTCCTGTAGATTGTCTGGCAATTTCTCTGTGAAGCAGGAACCTGAAGGACCATTTTGCCTTGCAAAGTTCAGTGATCACCTTCCTTTGGGTCCTGCATGTCCAGTCAATACAACATTCTGTCAAGCAGTCCAGGCAAAAACAGTTCCTTGCCCAAATGGTTATTTTTGCCAAGAAGAAGACAAACTCAGCAGGGGAGATGGCTCAGCGGTTAAGATCACTGGTTGTTCTTCCAGAGGTCCTGAGTTCAACTCCCAGCAACCACATGGTGGCTCACAAACCATCTGTAATGAGACCTGGTGCCTTCTTCTGGTCTGCAAGCATGCATGTAGGCAGAACACTGCATACATAATAAATAAATAAATCTCAAAAAAAAAAGAAGACAAACTCTATATGGAGTGTCTTCGATGCTCATCTTTCTCTTTGAAATAAATCAGTGCTGCCAGGAGCAGATGTGTCTCATTGTCCAGGAAGTCTAAGTTTTTAAAACATTTTAAATGCCATATTCTGTAGGTCTTTGAAGTGTTTGAAGATTGCCTACCTAATTGAAATATATCTATGTATACCTAGAAAACTTAACTAACATGACTATAAGTTTGATTATCATAGAAGATTAATTATTAATCTTTATTTCTTATCCATTGCAATCTAAATGAGTTACATAACATAATACTTTAAACAAGTAGAAATATACATACAGTATAACAAAATTAACTTTAAATTTGTATCAA